TGTGTTTCTTTCCAAATTAAATTAGAAGACACTGAACATATCAGCTCCATCATCTCCATATGTTAAAAGACTAAGATTTGTTTGAATATGAATCGAAAGCTCATAAAATCAAAGTGATTCTCGATGAAAAAGTGAAACCAATATAACTTATTTATACAAATGAAAGTGTTTGATCCAAACAAATTAATAATACAAAGCTAACAAATTAACTTTAACTCCTAACTGAATACATAACTTCTTAACCACTTACTCCACCATGAGAAATCATTTTATAATGGAATCTAAAAGTAGAAAGAGCATAGTAGAAATTTCCAGTAACTCTGAAATTATTAGAAACACTTAAGTCTGAACAGAAGCATGTTATTTCTTGATCATTGTTACTCTGTATTTCATTAGTGGTTGACAAAGTTATTTAATGTTTATTATCAAATAACTGTCCATCTATGCAAAACCCTATAGCCTATAGGATATCAAATGTTGTCCCTGTGATTTATTATGATAAAAGAAAGATATAAATAATAGGAAAAGCTATTAGATTGATAATTTAAATTATTTTTTGTTTCAAGGGAGTGGTATAAGTTTTGATTTTAATAGGTCCTTTGAGTTATTTATGTTTTCAAATCAGAGTCTAACTTATTTTTCAATAAAAAAATGAAACATTTTGGTTACTATGAAACAGTGAAGAAAACAAAACAGAACACACTATTTCATTCTGTAAGGATATGAGTAAGGGACCCTCATAATTTAAGTAATAAAGTTGGCCTTTTTTTCTTCCTTGGTTTAACAAAATAGTGTGGCAAATCATACAGATCATAAACCAAATATATAAAATTATATGTGAAAGGAACATCCATGGTGGCTTTGAAGAATCATGATACCATGTATACACCTACAAAAACAAAAGAGCACAAAAGATCAATCTATATATGAAAGGGCTTAGCATGTTGTAGCAGTTTATATTTTCATTGATAAGCTATTACACTTGGTATCTTTTTTTATTTACATAGACAAAGATGCAACCAACAAGGTGTTAGTCTAGATGTTTGGTGGTGTAAGGCTTTAACTGGATTCCCATTTAGACCAAAATGTCAAGGGTTCAATTCCTAAGAGCGACACTTGTTGGGAGGGGTAGTCATGCACTTTGAAAGGGATTAGTTCCTTACCCATAGGGTGAGGCGGTGATTTAAATTGCGGACCACATCAACTGATGCGACCGCAATATTGCAGTTGTGGTGGCCACCACAATCGCATTACATGGACAAGTTACATGAATCTAACACATTTCTGTATCTCAAAAAATAAAACTCATCAACCACATGTTGCTTAAAAGAAAATGTGGAACTGGAATCACAACATAAAACCCAACAACCTCAAAGTATGGCACAACACAACCAACAAGAAAATAGAGTATAGTGCTGCCATATCAGAAATAAAATATAATTCTTAGAATGTTAATATACAAAACATGTGATGAGGATCAAAGTAGGAAGAATAAACAATACTTCTCGAAAAGTTTAACCCTCAAATTTATTAACTTTTTCCGTTAAATAATAAACGTGACACAAACACTAAATCAGCAAGACAGCATTCAGAGATTGGCATAAACTCACCTTTCAGAATTTTAGCTTAGGCATGAAACCAAATTTAGGCTGCTTAAGAATCCTCCTCCAATTCATCAGAATCAGAATCACTAGCGTTATAACCTAACAAATATGCACCAAACTAAAACTAGTCACATTAAGTGTGTTTGGTAAAAGTGATAGTCATTTTAGCTGCTTTTGGGATAAGCTTATGTGTTTGGTAAAATATATAAAGCTGGAAAGATGCTTAAAAAAGACTGTTTATAAGGGGGAAATAATTTAGAGAAGCTAGAAGTTAGAAGCTATTTAAAAGGGACATTAAACTATTTTGAAATCAAACATGTTTTCCAACTTCACCCTTCCCAAATCAACTATCAAACAATTATTATCAATTTATACAGGCAAGCTATTATTTTTACATAATCCAATCAGCAAACATACCAAACCTAAGCAGATTCAGCTTATAATTGATCAATTGTTGAAATAAACTTATAACTTAATTTCACAGTTATCACAAACACAAAAATTCCGAATCACAATACCTGGACACTTTTCACCAACTTTCCAAACTGAAGACCTAACCCTTGATGCTTTACTCAGCCAAAATCTTCCCTTCATTCCAAATAATAACATCAGCCATGGAAATCAAAAGAAAATGACAGACAAGCACCTCCACAGGCCCCACACATTGTTCATACTTCATTATACACCACTGCTCTTCTTATTCAAGAAAAGGCCAATCGAATATATACATTTCATGATAGAAACTATTAATATACTTTCCTACAATCACTTATCTGTACTATACATTCAGGTGGCATTTGAAAGAGCTTATTTGAAACATATTTGAGCTTATCTTATCAATATAAACACTTACGAGGACATTCGGGAGAGCCTACAGAAGTAGCATATCTTCCTCAATAAGCTTTTTTTAGTTTATTTCCGTAAGCTCTCGGAGAAGATTACGGAAATAAGCTTACACTAGCTTCTGTGGAAGTTAAATATGAGACCTAAAACAATGACTTTGAGAGCACCAAATCAATGAGTTTTATAATGATAGCAAAATCTGACCTTAGAACTATAAACTAAAAGTAATCTTCAAGTCATTAGTAGCATGTTTGCTTTCAATTATATTTGGAAGAACAATCACTTATCAACCCATGATTGAACCTTTTCTATAGACATTCTACACATATGTACACAGGCATGTAAGCATGCAATTAAATACATAAAAATATGTACATTTCAATGTAGACATGTGTATATACATAAGTGACGACTAAGGAAATGATTTTTTCCTTCATTTTTCTATAGTCATAAAGTTATTCTTCTTTTGTCAAAAAGTTCATTTTTCTATTTTGAATTAGATGCTCATCAGCCATTAGAGTCGTTAACAAACCACGATCGATTGAAATTTCATCGATCAAAGGCTGAATTAAAGCACCAAATTGCAACAAAAGTTACAAAACAAAACAACCCCTACCTGCTGAGCATCTCTAGGAACTCCATAGCCACTGTAGTACATCTGAGCCACCAACACCTGCATGTTTATGTCTCCTCCTTTAGCCTCCTTGAGAGTGTCCCTGAACCACCGCTTCCGGCAATCTGCTACCACCCCTGACAGCGGAATACGCCCATTCCTCTCTTTCCCTTTGCTGCTGCTACTACTACTACTCTCCATATATCCCCTCCTAAGTCCAAACCACACTTCAGCTTCAACTTAAAAAAACGGCTTTTCGCCCTTTTCTTCTAGATTGTTATACTAAGACACTAACAAAAGGGTGTTTGGTAATACATGAACAAATAGTAAATTGCATAGGATAATTTAATTACTGTGTTGATCCTGGTCTAATGAGAAAATACAAATAAATACCCTATAGCTATGTTGCATGAATACGGATAATAGACAAATTATGTAACCCAGGTTCAGTATTATGATCTAGCTAAGAAGAAAAAAAAGTGAAAAATCCTAAATTTCCAACCCAAATAAACACATGAACTAATTTTACAAATTTCAGGTTTTTTCAAAAATATTTTGATAAAGGGACCTAATTAAACTTCCCTACAAAAATTGAGGGATCAACAAGAATATTGAATTGATATGTTTGAGATTGAACAAAAATACAAACAGAGAAAGCAAAATTTTGAGTTGGGGTTGGTAAAGTTGTTACCTTTTTTCTGGTATTGGGTGATTTGTGTGATGCTATATGAAGATCATGGATTGATTTTGAAATTGATGGAGAATTAAGGAAAAGGGTTTTGGAGTTTGGAGTTTGAAGAGAGAGAAGAAGAGTTGGAAAAGCAACTATCACTTAGCGGCGTGGTTTCCATCACGTTGTCTTTGATATCTTTTCTATTATCAAATTTAAATGCCAATTAACAATTTAAATTCTTTTTTCCTAAATAACAAATTTGATAAAAACTTTTAATGTTGTGAAACCCAAGTCGGATGTCAACTAGAAAAACTTTCGTATTAGGTCTAACCAGTTTAACTAGTTAAATTGTTTGATCGGATCGGATGATTTTAAATATATTAATAATTTTTATCTATAATTATATATTTTACATTTTATATAATTAATAATTTTATATAAACATATTGAAGTAACATCTCTCTATTATTTTTGGACCGAAATAAAAAAAAACATTAGAGTAATGTTCCATTTTTTAAAATTTTAAGTGAGTCGTCCGATTTTTTCATGAGTTATTCCGGTTTAACCGGGTTTAGAACGGTCAAACCAGAATTTCTCCGGTTAAGACTACAAAACGAAGTTGTTTTCAAATCTGGTCAGCGATCGAACCGGTCGGTCCGGTCCGGTTATCACAACACTGCATACAACCCTAACACATCGTATTTGCATACATCCAATTGTTTGACATATTATTAAATCGTGGGTTCTAGTAAGTTAATTTATGTTTTTTTCCCTCATTCTCCCTCCCTTCAGTCGTTCTCTTTACTTTTTTTTATCTCATATTTAATATAGTGGGATTCACAAAAAATAATTGGGTGCTTGCAAATAAGATGAGTTGGGATTTGCTCCAACCAAATCTTTATTAACAAATTTTCAATATTTTTTATCTTTAGTCTATTTCTTGCAAAATTAGTCTACCTATTTTTCTTGTAAAATTAGTTGTACACATTTCCATACACCAAGAGAAAAAGTAGCATATTTAACAATTTATAGTTTTATATTCATTTATGGTAATTGAAACGATCACACACATTTCCATACACCAAGAGAAAATGGATTATGGGTTGATTGGTAAAATGTGTATGATTGTTACAATTATCATATATGAGTATACGATTCTTATGTCTCATGTAGATATCGTAGTCCTATGCACAGTAAAGTCAAGACTCACTCCAAAAGGGTATGAAGAGAATAAAGAACAATATATAAGTTCCTAGCTCATACCTTTGTCCTTATCTCTTCTAACAGTGAATCTCTCTCATATTCCTTTGATACTCACACTGGGGAACATTGTTGAGCCTTTCATTGCATATTCTCCATTGCATTGTTGAGCCTTTAACTACAATTGAATCTCAAACAAACTTTGCATGATATAGGAATACCAACACGATGACAAACAATTCAATCTTATAAAAAAAAAAAACCATTATGACTCTTACTAAATTTATAAGTGTGTCCTTGTCTAATTGAAAACACAACTTCCTTTTCAAATAAACCATAAAAATCATAAGCATCTTAGTCATTGTGAAATATTTTACCTTCATAAGGAATCACACTATCAGTTTTGTTACCTTCATAATGAGAGAAACTAGTTAGATACTTAAAATCCTCTTTAAAGTATATAAAAAATGAAATTATGAAATAAAAGAATTTAATAACTTTATATTTTAGATATAATGATATGATATTTTTGGATATGATTTTTCCCTTGTTTTTTGGTGGTCATGGGACATTGAAAGTGGAGGTGGCATGGAGTAGTGGTTTCTTCTTAGCATTTAACTATATTGTTAGAGATTAGTCTTATACCTATGATGTGGGAATATATAAAAAACCAATAAATAAAATATATATTTTTGTGTGTAATATCATATTATTTAATGTAATTAATTTATTCTTTTAACAACCAATTTAATATCATTTGAAGTACCGATTTACAATTTAATTAAAAAGTTACAACCATTACACGTCATTTGGTTTTTTTTTAATGTCACTGATATTTTTCGCCCTTTTGATAAGGAATTAATCCTCTTTTGAGATATGAAGTTCTTCCTTTCAAAAAGTATCGCTCACAAGAATCAAACCCTTAACCTTTTAGTCATCCTAGGGGTCTAACGAGACCAACACTTTCTTTGATTTGAACTTATCAAATTGTTGGTGTCACCTGTAGTGATCTCCATAGTGGTGGCCTATTTTGTTGGTCTATTACTTTTTTTTTCTCCAAATTGCAGCAATTTGGCAGACTAAAGATGACACAAAGTGGGTTAGTCATACATAGGAGTAACACCTTGGCCCAAAAGCATCAAAAATGACAAACACATAAACATATAGTAATCAATTAGCATGCAAAAAGTATCAACAACCTTCCATATCTAAACTGTGTTATTATTATTGAGAGACAAAGAAAGAGATAAAATGCTATCATCATTCATGGCTTTGGCATTTTACTTATCGGTGGAGACACATTTTCTGACTTTGGCTTTTTGCTCATCGGTGGAAAGAGTTATTGGAAATTAATACAAGTGTTCAAACTTCAAAATTTGTCACCATTTTAAGTATACATCATCTTCATTAATTGAGAGACAAATAATATTTTTACACTAGAATAAAAGTGTCATTACATAGGTAAATAGAAATTCATAATTGTCTTTTCGTTTTCTTGTTGACTTTGTTTTACACATCACTTATCTCTCCATTAATGACAAGGATATATACTACTTATTCATCAACATGTTGAAACATTATTTTTATCATTTTAAAATTTTCAGGATTGAGGCTCACACATTCTGAAATATAAGATGATAATAACCCTGAAAATCATAATAAAAAACTAATAATAATCTTCTGGTATAAGGAGATAAGTTTTATATTCTTCAGTCACTAAAATCGTGACATGTGTACTATTTAATCATTTTCTATAAAAATATTTTTAAAACTAAACAAAAAATATACATGTCTTTCTTTTAATGTCTGGAGGATATAAGTTATCTTCTGTTATGAGGAGATACTTTATTCTCTAATAAAAATGGTCAAACCAAATACACCCTCAAATTTTATATTATCTTATGAACCATATTAAAATATACATAATGTTGTTATATATAATACTTATTGATAAATGAAAATCACTTAAAGATTCCCTATACATCTTATAAAATTAGTTTTCAGTATTGGACACCTCTTTGTTACACAAATATATAGATATAATATTATTCAAAAGAGATACTTATATATATATAATCCCCTCCATCACTTTTTTCATAATGTAGATCACATTATAGTAACCTTAAAATTTGTCAAATGAAATGAAATGAAATTTGATTCAAGGATTTAAATCATATCTTATTATGCTGCAAATTGATGGCATATTATTGTTGTAATCTTAGCCGTGATATGCGATTCTTTAGGCCTATGAATATATTGAACATGTTATCCATCTACTTAAATATCATATTCATATTTTATTTCTGACAAAGGGGAGACTCAGATATTACTACTCTGAGTGTTATGACTGAGTTCTAATCATGCTTTCTATATATTACCATTTTCATCTAAATCTTAATGATTTGTGATATTTCTATATAAATGGATCTGGTTATGCTCTTGTGAGAGTGAATATACAAACCAAACCTCTCTACTTTCTCTTTCTCTCTTGCTTCTCTTCTCTTATTTTTCTCAACCATGTTTGCAACTGAAGTCATCCCTGACAAACACCTTCAACGAATTCCTCTTCACTCATCAGAACCCATCTTTTCATCTTCATCATCTAAAAGGTACTCACAATTTCTATATCGTATGAATTATAACTCCACAAATCTTCAATATGTTCTACTTAGGTATATGACCACTAGTATAAATAATTGTGCTTATAAATTGCATAAATAATGAAACAACTCAATCCTGATATGCGACCCCGACCCACGAATACATTCAGCGTGTTATCCAACACGTTAAATACACATGCAGTATTTTATTCCTCACAAAGCACAAATGAGAGCCTCCCGCGACTCGAACTCGTGACCTCAGAGACAAATAGTCACTATTACAAACGATAGCTCTCCTGCTACTCGAACTCGTGCCTCAGAGACAAATAGTCACTATTACAAACGATAGCTCTCCTGCTACTCGAACTCGTGCCTCAGAGACAAATAGTCACTATTACAAACGATAGCTCTCCTGCGACTCGAACTCGTGACCTCAGAGACAAATAGTCACTATTACAAACGCCTGCGACTCGAACTCGTGACCTCAGAGACAAATAGTCACTATTACAAATGATATTTGTCATGAGGTCACGAGTTTGAGTCGCAGAGACTTCCTTTTGTGGGGAATAAGGACCGGAGTGTTACAAATGATATTGAAATACAAAAAGATGTTTATGTTGTTAAGAAAGATTGATATTATTATAGGTTGGAAGGAAAAATAGCAATAGTAACTGGTGGTGCTAGAGGCATAGGAGAAGCAACAGTAAGAGTTTTTGTGAAGAATGGTGCAAAAGTAGTGATTGGTGATATTGATGATGAAGAAGGAACTAAAGTTGTAAATTCACTATATCCTTCAGCAATCTATGTCCATTGTAATGTTAGTTCAGAAGAAGAGGTTGAGAATCTTATAAGTTTCACAATTTCTCAATATGGAAAACTTGACATAATGTTCAACAATGCTGGGGTGCTAGGGAATCAATCAAAGAACAAAAGCATAGTAAACTTTGACCCTAATGAGTTTGACAAAGTGATGAGTGTGAATGTGAAGGGTATGGCTTTAGGGATAAAGCATGCAGCAAGGGTAATGATACCTAGAAGAGTTGGGTCAATTATATCAACATCTAGTGTAGCTGGTGTTATGGGAGGGCTGGGTCCTCATGCTTATACAGCTTCAAAGCATGCCATTGTTGGGATTACAAAGAACACAGCTTGTGAGTTGGGAAGGTATTCTTCTAACTTGAAATCCATTTTTTTAGAATAGAGAACTATTTTTCTTGTTCTTTTATGTATCAAATTTGTATTGAAAAAATCCAAAATGGTTCTGAAAAAATCTAATGAGTCAAATTAGTCTTTTATCATATTTTATGATTGTGATAGGAACTATTGTGACTCATATTTTTTATCTTTAAATATTAATTTGGATTTTTACTTTTTCGGGAATGAAAGTGACGAGTTAGACTCATCTTCGTTACTAGAGAGGACAATCCTATTTTGTAGTCTATTTTAAGATAAAAATGTAATATGAGTGTAAATTAAAAGATATAAATGTCATTGTTTTTTAATTTTTATATGAATTTTCATATAACTGTCATCTCCAGTAATAGAGAGGACCGAAGAGTCTGGCTAGAAAGTAACACACTCGAAAATTTATAAGAACCAAATTGACTATTTCTATGATAGTGTTTACACTGACCACACTTTTAATTTTATTGGATTATTTTAAAAATTGAAGTGTGTAATATTACTTTTGGTCTTTAAGTGTATGATTTCAAGATTTTGCTATGCAAATCTAACATTTTTTCCTCTAAAAAGGTATGGAATAAGAGTCAATTGCATTTCTCCATTTGGGGTGGCTACATCTATGCTTGTGAATGCATGGAGAATAAAAAATGAAGCACAAGATGATGAAGAATATAACAATTTTGGAGTATCTTTCCAAGAGGAAATGGAGAAAATGGAAGAGTTTGTGAGAGGTATGGCTAATTTAAAAGGAACAACTTTAAGGCCTAAAGATATTGCTGAGGCTGCACTTTATCTTGCTAGTGATGAATCCAAGTATGTTAGTGGCCATAATCTTGTTGTGGATGGTGGTGTTACCTCATCAAGAAACTGTGTTGACTTGTAATTTTGTAATGTTCATGCTCTTTATATTCTTCTTTGTGACTTGCTATATAAGTGTAGGATCAAGCTTGTATAATCATTTTCTATCTATGTAGTTGCAATAATTTTTTAATCACAAGAACATGAATGGTAGCTTGTAATCAATGGCTTGGGTATTATTCTGATTTCATGAAGATAACTCTATTAATGTATCATCTGAAAACTAATTGATAATGAGATAAGTAGTCTAACAAGTATTTAAATCATTCACAAGATAATGAAATAAGTAATATGAGATTTACCTTCCATCAAACTCGTCGTTTCGAAAAGAAATCGAATCACAAGATGTTATTTTGTTGAAATACTCATCTTATTTTTTCTTGATAAGAAAATACCAAGTAAATACTAATAATCTTAATATAAAGTAAAATTCATCAATTGGAGTATGTTTGGTTTGGACTTTTTAATGATAAAGAAATGAGAAAGGTTAGATGGAAAATGATAATTGCACATTCAAATGTCTATGTGATAGAACTATAATATAGATACATCATCAAACACAGTTGAAGATAATTGAGTTTAATAACAATATTATTGTATATAGAATATAAAAATAAGCGTATTATTATCATTACTTATATTAATAAGCGTATTAATCTTATTTATTGATATATTTTATATAATAATAGTAGTAATAGCTCAGGATGCAGAATTTAGGGTCATTGTCTGGTTGACTTGTAAAACAATCTTATTTTATTCCTTTAGTCACTTTATGGAAAACTACATTTGTTTGCACTCACGATGCCAGCTATAATGGATGAGAAGATATATATATATATATATATGTCAATTATAAAGAATTTATATATTTTCATATTATATGTGATGTTTGGAAGTTCAATAATAGTATTAG